GCCCTCTTTCGAAAGACATCTTTAATGTGCTTGCTAATTTAACCATCTACCTACTGAGTCCTTCAAAAATAATAAACCCAGACAGGTTTGGCTTGAAACATTATTGGCTGCCTCTGCATTATGTCATGACAATTTGTTATTGGCAGTAAATTCACAAGCTGCTGTTTCTCTGCATTCCTTTGTGTGCTTCTGCAAACGCAGTCCATAATGCTGAAGCATGTGACTCTCCTTCTACTCTGCGTATAACTTCCTATAACCTAGGTATCAATTAATTCATTTTTTAAAAAAGACGTCTGTTGCAAACGTCATGCTCACCAAGATCATGTGTCTACTTAAGCACACAAAGAAGACATTTTAAGGTTTTGAAAGATCTAATTTTAAATAATGTGGGTGTCACAGATTCCACTGCTGACACCATATGTTACAGATTCACATTGCTGCCAACCATATGTCAAAAGCTCTCACAGGTTTTCAGCCTGGAGGCTCTGATGGGGAATTACTGCCATCACCAGCCACATTCTTTTCATGCATTCATTCTAGAAGCCTGGAATAAACCCTGGCTTGGTTCATACATTGTCAGGGAGGCTACCTTATGGCTTATTCTCCCACTGCTCCATAACATTTGAACAACAGAGAATCATAAGAGATAGGTGGATCCCATGAGAAGGCATTTCTGCACCAGCCCATACATTCCTGGAAGACAGCTCCATTGATGTCCATCCAGAACAGAGACTCCCATCCGTCAAATGCTCATTAGGTGAAGGGCAATCCTACAGAGAACAAAGCTTCGGGGCTGCCCCTCTGACCTGTGCCTCTAGCTGCCCAGGTATGCATGGGGCCACCTATGGATTGAGATCTCTACGTGTGTAAGCTTTCTTCCCATGCTCCACAAAAACAAACAAAACCTCAGGATTGTCCTCCTATCAGGCACATACCTGGTGGCAGCTTCTGGGGAAAATTAGTGGCCTGGTAGAGAGCACAGCCTGCCTTGCACTTCTTCATCTAGCTTTTCACCTTCAGAAAAAATAGAGGATGCTTTCCTTTTGTCAGTGTGGCACTAAGAGGAGCTGCTAATCTGGGTGGCTTTAGTCTTTGTGTCAGGGCATCTTATCTTTTGTCTCAGCCAGCAAATGTCTCCGGCCAGGCCTGGAAAGTCTGTTCACAGTGAGGTCTGCCTAGAAAGTCTTTCCTTTAAATATGTCCTGTTGCATAGTTAGTGGTTTCTGTTATTATTTTTCAATGAAGCAATGCCACGTGGCATTGCACAGTCCCAGGAGTAGGGCCAAAGCTACTACCATGCCACTCATTATTCCTCTCCACATGATTTCCTGGTGGGAGGGGCTAGAATCAACATGCAAACTATAGTTAATGTGGGAAGTTCCCATGTCAGTATCATGTGTTTCCAAGGTGATATCACTGCTATGAGAACTTAGCTCCAGTGAAGTCATTGCTGAAGCCTGTTCTGAATCAGAAATTTCTCCTTTTAGCTATGCCTATTTATTATAACAGATGCTGGAGGGGGACATGCTTTGTAGTTGTCTGAAATATCAGAGAAGATCTCTTCCAGAATCTGCAGAAGTGCCAGGGTTTTCGAGCCTCTTTGAGATGGGGATGAAAACCCCCACCCCCACCCTGTGGGCACAGAGAAGGAAAAACACATGAACAATTTTTGCAGCCCAGTTCTGTACATTATTACTTACAATTCCACCTTCCTTTTTCAGAAAGACATACTTCCAAATAAGTGTGCAGGGGATACAGTCTTAACATGCCAGCCAACGTTAGGATTGCTTGCGTTACTCAGTTGCATCATACGTCTAGGGCAGAAGTCATATATCCTAACTTCATCAGCATTGAAATGTGGGCTGATTAAGCAGCAAATAAACAGCCATGCAGTCTTAGGAATCAGACTTTTGTACTGAGAGTCATCATTATTTTAATGATGGTTTTATAAATTCTTTAGCTGCATGTTTTCATTGTAGCATGTGTTATACTGTCATTTTGGGAAAATTGGAAAATGCTTTACTTCAAAACAAACTTAGTCCAGCCTAGTGCTGTTTGATGGTCCTTCTCCAGATTACATGTCTAGGTGCTCCTAGAGATACAGGGACTGAACCTAAGAACTTTGCATATAAAGCAGCCATGGGTGATCTTTGTTCTCTTAAGGGCCAAGCTGTTATCCTCAGATTCTGCTGTACCAGTTCTGGAAATGGCCATAAACAGCAATTAAAAGAGGGGGAAAAACTAGCAACTGAGTTTCCTGCAGCTGCCACCAGCAACTGTTTGGGCTGTCTCTGGTGAAAGTGCACTCTCATGCACCATAGCAACTTGCTTTTCCATGGAGCAAAACATATATTTTCCTCCCAGAAGGGAATGTTAATAATATGAATATCTTTATAGCACAGACTAATTTCTTAATGTCTTTGTTTATTATTTTATTTAGCGGTGCAATGTTGAATTTTGGCCAGTGCAATCTTGTCAATGGTTGCAATAATGCTGATTTTTGTGCAGTCACTTCAGTGGCATAGCCAGCCGAAAATGAGAGCAGCATGGAAAAACAACATGGGGTGTGTGTGCATGTCTCATATATTAATATGTGTCCATACAACTAATTTCACATGAAGTTTGCAAACTTTTGTGCAATTATGTCAAGGAACAAACATAAAATGTAGTAAAAACAAAATAAAAATAAAAATAAAACAAAAGCGGAATCAAAACATTACAGTACATACAAGCAAGTTGGAATCTAATGAAAAACAAAGGATAAAATCGATAAAATCCCATTGCCAACATAAAGTTGATGAAGCCATCAGCTGTGGCCATTTTTTGGAAATTACAAAGGTCAGATTCCATCTCCCCTGCTTCAATGTTCCCAAGGTGAATTAATTACAAGAACTCTGACTCTTAGCCTGGTATCTCCAATATGTAAAACGGGTCTGAGAAATAAGCAGTTGGCCCAGTAACAGGCGTGTGGTTAAGGAATGGCGGCAGTATCATAGAGTGTATGTCTTTAAAGGCCTTTTAAAACACATGCTAAAATCCTGTATGCTCTCTTGGTATCGCCGTACAGAGTAAAAGACATAAGAGCCAGAGGGTCCAGTCAGTCTTCTGCTGATGATCTGTGAGAACCACTATGTTATCCGACTGAACATGGATTTGTTCACAAAGATGCAGCTGGAAATGTGCATCACATGGGAAATTTAACCAATTTGAAAGCAGGCCAAGAAATTATACTAATATTCATGTATTACATGGCTAAATATTTGCCTGAGTTGAGGTTATTCACACTTATTTGAACTGCTGGTGGTTTAGGCATCTGGCTGCAGAGCAAGAATTGGGGGGATCAATTCCCCACTGTGTCTCCTTGACAGGGACTGGACTTGATGATCTATAGGATCCCTTCCAGCTCTGCGGTTCAAAGATGGTGATGATTTAGAAGCAAATTCTACAGATGGGAAAGGGAATTCCTCTCAAGCAAGCATGTTTAGGGCTTACTGAACTCACAAAACCCAATATTATGCACAAAACAGCTATATATTTAAAATTTAATACACACATTATATAATGTGTATATAAAATTTAATATACACATTAAATTTTGTGTCTAAAGTTCTCTGCTTTCTGACACATAATTTACAATGCAAGCTTTATACATGCCTACTCAAAAAAAAGCCTCATTTAAATTCAATAAATTTACTCCCATGTAAGTAGATAGTGGGCAACTTAAACAGCAGACATTTGACAAATTCCATGTTCAAAACAAGCATGAGGAGGGTTTCTTTTAAATCGCGCAGCTATTATAGAGTGTGTGGTAGCAGAGGAATGTGTCACAGTAATGCAGAGAGCTGTAATGATGTCAACTTGTTATTTACTTTCCAAATCTGAATGACTGAGCAAGGCGAAAGGAGAATCAATCAGCCACAATGTGACCCTGCAGGCGGAAAAAACACAGCACTCTCACCAGTAAGAGGTTGGGGGATGGAAAGCACATGTAACCAGGGCAATGTTGCATCATTTACTTGCATTGCTTTTTGTACTGCTTCCTTTTCTCTCTCAATTGGATGTTATAGCTCTGTATGAAGCTGTGCAAGCCTAGAGAAAAATAAGCAAAGGAGGACAAATTCAAGACAACAGAATGTCAGCATTTGTTCCTAGGGTTGAGTGGCAGCTCATGTGCAGTAAAATCTATTCTGCTGAATCATAATTATGGAGACAGTGTAAGTCCATATTTTAATGTGATATAATTATTGCATAGAAGCAATGGCTTTAAATCACCCATGAAGTATACAGGATATCTAAATATGACGGGTTTTATCCTGTCTTTAATAGGTGAACTCCCAATTATGTAACATTTAATTTGCAAAAACATTCATTGTGTTCTGATTACCATTATTCAGTTACACTGAAGATGACATAAAACTAATTTAGCCTCTTCTGGCTCACTTCTTAGAAACTGAAAAGAAATTACAACAGAAGATAACTCTTGTTGTCTGGTTACTTAGAGGGTATTCCTGTACAACCACCCTGTATATTACATGTTTATGCACTTATGAGTGTATATGCCTCTATATATCTCCGTGTGCAGTCAATGATATTAATTTCTGTGCATCTGCGAAGACCCGATTATCTATTAAATTTTTATTAGCATTATCAGCATCTCCCTCCCATACGAACCAAACCAGCATAAAATAATACGAATATGCAGAAAAATACCCACGGATTAAGTGCTGTCGGTTTTTCTGTCTTTGATCCATTTTTGCTGACTCCACGGGGTTAACGCTGCCTTTGAATGCAGAAGAGGGGGAGGGGATAAGTGTTCTGTTTTGTTTTAGTGGATAGGAAACAACGTTTCAATAATCCCTAAAAGTGACTAAGGAGTTACTTCAGGACACGAGACTGGGGAGGAGGGGGATTAATTTGATGTTTAAGGTAGGTATTTGACACTTTATCCGGTAGGAGAGGTGGCACATCATAGAGGATGAGCAGATTACATATAGAAAGAGATACACGCCCGGACACACGCAGCTTTCTCCTTTTATTGAAGATCAATATGCTGATTTCCTTCACCACCTCCACCCCCAGGAGATCACTGACGATCTCTCTCTAAGGATCTCTATCTCTCTCTGTGTGTATTTGTCTTTCACCCCCTCTCTGAGCTGCTGTCGTCGTCTCTGGAGGAAGACTCTCCTTTACTTACACACTTACACACACACAGAGAGAGAGAGAGAGAGAGAGAGCTAATGAAGTAGAGAGCGGCGGCGGCGGCACCTCCTGACCGCCATTCCGCACCTAAAAACTTTCCATTTCCCTCTGCCCACTCTTTGGGACTTCCTTTTGATCCACCCTTCCCCCCCCCACCCAACACGCATCGCTGGTGTGTGTGTGTGTGTGTATGTGGAGGAGGGGAAGCGAAGAGTGTGTGAGGGCTGCTGGAGATTTACAATCTGCCTTCACGCTTTTGGGACCCAGGAGGGGGGGGGGAAACCCCCGAAGAGTTCCACCATGGGCTGCGAGTGAAAGGCACTCTTATGTGTGTGTTTGTGCCGAAGTTGGGGCTTTTTCCTCTATTGCTTCCAGAAGTGCAAGCTGTGCCTTTAACCCACGTTGAGGGAGGTGAGTTTGGATTGGGAGGGCTCTTTCTTAACAGCTCTTGGATCTCTCTCTCTCTCTCTCTCTCTCTTTTTAATGCGTGTGTGTTTCTGTCTGGGAGACTGACAAACGCAGTTTTGAATTGAAAACGGCCTGGGGTTTGCCGTGTTAATCCACTGTCACTCCAACTTCCTCGTGGCTCCCTTGCAATATTGTTGTTTTCGCGTTACTATTATTGCTTGTATATGTGTGTGTTTTCCTGCCTTCCATTGAACTGGCTTTTAGGACTGGGATTGCCCCTGGAGATCTCAACCCTTCTCTCCGTTTGTTTATTTATGTATTTATCTACCAGTGTGTCTTGCTTTATTCCTCAGTGTATTTGGGTGTATTTTTTCCCCAACATCTCT